TTGGAGAGAGTGACATATTCTAGAGATTACTCTTCAATCAAACTTTATTATGGTCCAAAGACCCAATTTGCTTAGTGGGAAAAGGTGCACAACTGCCAACAGATTTCATAAACTGATGAGGTTAATTTTGACTTCTAATGCGTCCTCTTACTTGTAATTTGGATTCTGGGGCCTAGTGATGGGGAAGCATAATCTTTGGGGCTTTTGTGATGCACATCACCATTCTTTTTGGTTCACAAAGATTGGTGAAAAACATTGGATTTGTAACTCTGAAATGTTGGCCATTTGGATTTTTTATATATACATATTTCAAACCCATCTGTTGTGCTAAACCTTTCTCAGACTTTGATAACCTGATATTTTAATTTAGAAAGATGATGAGTGTGCTCCAATATTCACCCAAGGAATGGCAAGTCTAGACTTCATACATAGCGGGATGTGGAATAAAACTTCAAATTAATGGATTTTCTCTGATACAGCATAGATTCCAAGGTACACTGAAGAATCTCTCCTTATTATGATGTCTGACTAGATAGAGGGGCAACTTTAAGGAAATAAATAATATCCAGTACAATTGTGTGATTTTAATGTTTATATTGATATGTTTTTAATTCCAGGTTTTAATGTTAAATGATATGTTTTATGATTTAATTGACTGCTGTTATTATTGTTATGTTAGGTTTCTGTATATGAGGCATTAAATTTTGCCATAATTATTTTGGAAACCACTTTGAGTCCCCCGCTGGGGTGAGAAAAGTGGTAAACAAGTGAAGTAAATAAATAAATAAATAAATAAATTCTCACTATTCTTAGAGGGCTATGAGCATTACTTAAGGAGAACCAGTTTATTATAAGTTACCTTGGCTCCTGCACTGGGGAAAAGGTGAAAGACAAGGAAGGAAGCAAACAAAACCCTCTAAGAACATTCTGTTTAATGTTCATTAGAATTAATACTGTACAACTAGAAATGTACAATACTAAGAGTATAAAATCTGATGTTCACTCCACATGCCATCACTTTTATAATATGCACTTCAGCTGTAAGTAGAAATGGTAATTGGTCACAGAATAAGCTTATTACTTAAAGCATAGGCACAAACACACATGCACGCCTATCTAATTCGCATAGAGAGATATGGTGAGTTTTGCATTCTGAATCTTTGCTTCATTATAGATGCATAACACTAACTGAGTTGGGGAGGGGGGAGCTCCTACCTCCATAGCTTGAATACCAAAGCTTTAAGATTTGTAAGGTACCTGTAAATATCTTCTTAAGAGTGCAGAATGTTCTTTACATGTTTGTGGGTCAACTTGTTATCTTTTTGTGGAATTGCATAAGCTAATACCCTTAGAGATTTGATTCAAAAGAACTGAAGAATCAAATATCAGGTTTCTGTTGTTTTGAGGTAAGCTTCTCTTTGAAATAAGATACCCATTGGCAAACAAAGTAATTCTTCCAAGGTACTGGAAAACATCAGACACAATATCAGAAGAGAATGTTTTCAATGAATATAAATAGTCAGAAGATTCTTTCAAGATGAGTTCTTAGGTAAAAGAATTGTGATGTACGTCTGCCAAGAATAAAGAATGCTATACATGTGCATAAGATACTGGAGGTATCTGATACAAGAACTTCCAAATACACATTTTTTTTCCATGGGGGTTGGCAACATAGTTTGATGTAAAATTTGTGAGCTCTGAGCTGAATGCTAATTTGTTCAGAATGGGCAAAATCTATCCCATAAAAAACTGGCTTCCTTAGCAAGTTTTAAGGCATGATCTTATATATTTTATTGTATATTGTCAGCTTGGGGGCCCTAAAGGGCAGAAAGGTGATTAAAATATTGTTATGAAATGGAAGAATATTAACACATCAAATAAGAAATGCTGGCCCTGTTTAAATTTGGCAAGGGACTAAAGGAAGTTTCTGGCAGATAAGAGGATGAGTCAAGTCAGCTTTTTTTAGGAGTGGAGTAAACTAACTATGGGCAGTTCTTCACAGATACTTTATCTGAGGGCCAATCCAGAGTGTTGGTTTGTATAATCAGTCCCTAGGCTACCGTGTAAGTGGGAGGGAGCCCTTACCTCTGATTCCAGGGCAGCTATGGGGGTGGGAAGGAGTCCTAACTATTCAGGGGAACTTATTCTGGTTCAGCACTGCCACTTATCCACTCTTACTATCCCGCTTCTGTTGTCATCATAGCAGTGGCCAGTGGCCATTGCTCGTTACCTGAAGTAACATCTATTGGGGTGCCAAAGCAATGTGAGAGAGGGGAGCAGGAGGAGGAATTGCCCCCTCTTTTTCCCATCCTCTCCTCTCATGAGTGATTACTCTTGCATCTAAGGGCCCCTTCCCAGAACCTCAAGGCAGAAAATCCCACATTATCTGAGTGTGGACTCAGATAACCCAGCTCAAAGCAAATATTGTGGGATTTTCTGCCTTGATATTCTGGGATATATGGCTATGTGGAAGGGCTCCTAGTTGACATCTCTCCAGGCAACAAGCAAAGCCATGTCATACCCACTGGCTGCTGCTACGAGAATGGGAGTGGAGTGGTGAGAGCTATCTTGTGTCTGTGGGCCACCTAGGCCAAGGAATATGGAGTGGCTGAGTAAATAATTGTGGCTGATTCTGTATCGGGCCTGGCCCAACTGTTTGCATAGACTCAAATTCAGAGCAACCCACAACTTTCTAAAATGCAGTTCAATGCTGCATTTATCCAAATCAGATTTATCTGTCATGCAGCCACCATGGAACTGATTGGCTTATCTTTCAAGATAAAGGATCAGTTTAGATTTGCCCTATGCCAAATAAATGAGAGAGTGGTGTATTTATGTGCTATTTGTAAGCCTCCTGGAGGTGCTGCATGGGAAACAATACTGAATTAAATTAAGTTTTCTCCAATCCGGCAGGGACTTTTGAAAGTTCTCTGAGAAAGAAGTCATACTCTTATTACTACTATTAACATACATAAAGCAGAAAATGCAATTAGTAGTATGCAACATAGAATAAAACTTGATCTGGACAATTAACCCATGCATACAACCAGAGTTGGAATGGAATACAAGACCATAAGCCATTAACAAAGGGAGTCTTGAATGTTGGTTATATTGTGCAAATTTGGGAATTACTGTTCTGACATCCAGTCTAAAGAAAGTCACATGATACAAAGATGTGAGCTGCATGGGGATTTTCAAAGCTTGAGAGAGTTATCAGTAGGATGCAACATTGGTACTGTCGGGGACAGGGGAAGGAATGGTAATAATATTCATGATATAGTAGAAATGGATGACAAGAGGTAGTTTCAAGACTTAAACACTGGCTCTGCCCACCCCAAACATGTCAAGCGTTTAGATCATCATCCTCATTAGATTTCAACTGGGTGATATTTTTTACTTTTCCATCTCTTTAGTTTTTATTCTGATTTATAAGAGTTGAATGTTAGCTGATAGTTCTTAGCTGAGACTGAAACAATATGACACTATTCCTATTCAGCATTTAGATCATGGACTGCTATTAATATTTCCACATTAATCACAGTTTCAATAGATAAATAGAAAAATACATAAATTTATATATTTAAAAAAATAAAATCATTAATTTTAAAAATGATAGTCAAATTGAACAACATATCCTTTTTTTCTGATGCCTCTTTGAGCATTATTATAACATAGTCAAGAAATAAAAACACATTTTTTTATTTTTACATATTTTTTACAATTTTTCTTTTTCCATTTTTTCTCTTCAATAAACTTTTTTCTTTTTTTTCTTTTTTTCCTTTTTGCCCCATTTTTTTTACCTTTCCTTCCCCCCCTCCCCAGCCCTTCCACTCCAATCTCCATTAATAGGGAAACCTCCATACCCGTTTAACCATAGTTAGCTTCTTCCTCTTTCCTACCTGTTAAACTTTCCTACTCCCTATTATTTCCTCCCCTTTTCCCCTCTTTTTCATTTTTCTTTTCTCTTTTTTTTACCCTAAAATTCAATTAAAATACTTAAAATAATAATAATAAGAAGAAGAAGAAGAAGAAGAAGAAGAAGAAGAAGAAGAAGAAATAAAAACACAATGGGTTTTGAACCATCAATCCTGAGGTTCTTTAAATGGAAAAGGACCAGACCCATTATGTCCAAGTATTAGGTGAGTTTAGGTTAGAGCTTCTAGAAGATACATGTAGTACAGAAAATATATTTCCCTAGTTATAATTCTCACACAGCATACAGAAAATTGAATAATATTTGTGTATTTTATGTGCTGTTTGTTGTTGGCTATTTATGGTTATTTTACAAAAAATTAAATGAGTTCTTACAAGATTATGAATAAAGAGGTCAAGTGCAAGGAATGAGTTATGCTGGATGTTCTCACCCCAATATACCCATGCCCTCCCCCCATTGAAAACTTTTATTTGCTTTCCTTACTTCACACATCACTAGAATAATACAAAAGTAGGATCCACAGTAATCAGGTCATGAATGAGTTGTGTTGTTTTTAAAATGTTAAAAACCCAAAAATGTCCAGCTTCTGTTCTTCCCTGGATGGGCATTCAGGCATGAATAGAAACAGAATTAACATCCATTAAGCACTTCAACCTCATGTTTACTTGGATTCATCATTAGCATTATCCACCCACTACTGTGTGTTCTTCTTTTGACAGATGTAGGCGTATGTCTCTGCTCTCTACCATGGACTTTCCATACAATGGGGCAAAAGGACTTTGAGCATACGTTGTCTGCACATTCGCTTATTTTATATAATTTTCCCCACCTCCCACTTATGAGCAGTAAAATGGGTAAACATCTTCTAAAAGAGGCTAACATGTATGACAGGATGTTCATTCTGGCTGGGAGGGACATTTCATGTTCGCTTACAAACTACATAAATGAACTCAGCTCAAAAATTTCCATTGGCTTTTAATCTGGGCTTTTTCAGAAATTGTGGGGATTATCTAAAGCTGCAGTAAAAGTGACAAATCTTTTTATTCAAATATTACTTGCTTTTTAGGCACTGAATTTTGGAGATATGCCGAAGTACTTGTGGGAGATTTGGGTACCTGACAAACCATGGGTGGTAAGATATCAGAACTGTTTAAAAAGAAAAAAAGAAAAAGTTTGTTTTTTCTTTGAATTAAAACATTGTGGGTACAGTTTTTTTTATTGAAATTAATGCTCAAAGCTCCCTTTGCCATTCCCATTCATTACTGGTTTTCACCAAAACAGTTATTTCCATAACTTTTTATGATCTTGAAAAGATCAGCATAGTTTAACAGATATTGTCAATGACAAAATGTGTCATTGTCATAGTGAGCTATTTAAAAGGTTATTTGATTTCTAGAAAATGAGGTTCTAGTTTCTTTTATTATACATTAATTTGTGCTAGTACAAAGTAAAATAATGTATAGACAAATGAAAAACACTCACAGTACAAAACCAAAATATTCTTAGAATGATTATGAGTACCTTCTTTCCCAATTATTTAGATATATGAAATGTAGTTTTACACGTATAATAATAATAATAATAATAATAATAATAATAATAATAATAATGACTTTATTTTGGTACCCCATCTCTATCTCCCTGAAGGTTTATATATGGCACAATGTGCCTAGAACAACACATAAAATGAACACACAATACAACAAAAGATAAAACCACTAGCATATAAAACACTGATTTTATATTATTTTGAATTAAATTTCTAATTAGTTGAAAAAATGTATCTCATGATTAACATGGCATGTCATTTGAGACCATTCTTCTATATTGCTGATTTCATTAGGACACTTTGTTTGGACCAGTGTAGCTGTACCTACATGAAAACCTTCTAGGGTCACAGTTCCTGAGCTGAAGGATGTGATCTGGAAGCTGGAGAAGAATGTGAGAATTTAATTCGAACAGAGTATGATACCAGTTGAATAGACCTAGATGGAGGGTAGCTTGGTCATTCTACAGATGTCATAATATCCACCAATCACAGACATTAAATTTCCATAGCATTGTTCCCTTCTGTAACTGGAGCAGTTCTTAGGCTCCCTAGCTTGGGTCATAGCATCAACCCTGAATGTCCTGATTGAAGTTTAGAAATCTCTAACATTGTTTTCAAAGAATTCTTGAAAAAGTGCAATGCATATGAAAATTGTATCAAAGGGTGATCACAATTTAGGAGACACTCCTTTTGACATCTACAACTTTCTATTAGTCACATTTTGTCAGTCATCACTTGCTATATACATACAAAGCATTTCTTTAAAGATTCATGTTTAGGGAAAGAACAATAAATAATGCAGCAGAATCCAACAAAGAAACAGTTTTAATTTTGCACAGATTTCTGTGAAAATGACTTAAGCATATGTTTAAGAGTGCTATTAGAGTCAATGGCACTCCAAATTGCTCAACCTTGGCTAAAGGTCTTTCTCTACTTCCCATACTGCCATTTAATACGATAAACTCAATCCCCCTTCTCTCTCTCTCTCTCTCTCTCTTGTTACCAGGAAATGAAGCATGTGAAATCAGCTTCCAATTATACCTTTAACCGTCTTTCATGCATGATTTATTTTTAAAATGCTGTCTTTGTATCATATAATGTTTAATTTCAAAATGGTCTGTATATTTGTAGACCTCTGTACATCACATTGTAAATATAAATTATAATTTCCTTAAGAAATTTGTTGCTGTGATGTGCCCTCAAGTTGTTTCTGACCTATGGAGACCTTAAAGCAAAACTGTCACAAGATATGTTCAGAGGTGGTTGAACTTTTCCTTCCTCTGAGAGTGTGATAATATGTCCTGTCCCAGTGAGTTTCCATGGGTGCCTTGGTTGTGCTTTTCCTGCATGTTAGGGAATTGGACTAGATGGCCCATGTAGTTTCTTCCAACTCTATTATTCTATGACTGTAAGTGAAAATTCTAATTCTGGTGTGCTAGAGTCATAATCCAAAGTTCATGCTATAAAATCAATGATCTAATATCACTTTTAATTTAATTCTTTTTATTTAAAAACCATAAATGCTTATTAAAAAATTAAATCAGTTAAAATAAGACAATTTGTAATCACTTAAAACTGGCTTGAGACAAGTTAGAACAAAACAAGCCATGCACTAGATTAAACCAATAAGATTCCAAAGCATACGTAAAAAGGCTGTTTGATGTAATTCTCAAATGTCACTAGTGTTGGTGCAAATTGGGCCTTTAAAAGTACATTAATTCATTAATGTCCCACCTTTCTCCCAACATGGGTTCCAAGGTTGTGTGCAAAATTTTCCATATTCTGTAAAAGGGATGACATGGCAGAGAAGACCCTTTCACATATTTTCCACTGTGTGCTATAATCCTAGCAGGACCCTAATAATTTTGATGTGAATGTGTATTTGTGTGCACAGATGTGTTTATATATTGTGTGTGCTGGAATATTGTGATGTCTGTGCTGTAACATCTTCCATGAATATATGGAAGATGAACTAAATTAGTCACAATACAACAAAATCTCAAATCTACAACAGACCATATGTTTGTTGGGTCAATTCCAAAGCACAAAAACATTATACAAACTTTCAAAGTTCTGTTGATTTCTTCATCAGGCAAAGGTTTTTACAGAAGAAAAGGGTGATGTTCAAATCACAGGCTCAAATTCTGTCTCGGTTGTTATTAAGATGATACTGGGGGGTTTCAATGCAGGCAGAGACCACTCACCTTCTTGACCATGAGGGGGACCAGGGGCTAAGGACAAAAAAGTAATAAAATTCCAATTAAATTTTATTGATTTTTTGTAATGTACTAGTTGTGTGTGAAATCATGGTAGAATTCTATATTCTTAGATTCTTTTTTTTAAGTACTGTGAATAAAGCCATGTGGATGTTCTAAGGTTTTGTTTAATAACAGCATGTCAGCATGACATAATAACAACTATTAAGATATCTGAACTATGAATTAAAGCTAATTGCTAGTCCCAGGTAGAATCAAGTCTTTCAGTCTGTGGAATTCATACATGTGTTGATTTACCATTTACCGTTCAGCAATAAGATTCATTTGATCTATATTGGTTGGGATGGACAATTGGATGAAAGTTCATGCATAGTTTTTATAAGAAGGAGTGTTTTTATGTATTAAAAGTATGCATGAACTTGTTATTTGGCATGCCTCTTCCACATATGGTGTACGACACAATCCTTGTTTATTTATTTACTTACTTAAGTTATATCTTACCTTTCTCCTTGCACAGGACCCAAGGTATCTGTGGCGTTTAGTCCATTGAGTATTGATGTACAGGGCATCTGGATGAGCATCCATAGTTGCAACACAGCACTGAGTCAGGGTCCACTGAACAGGCTCATTGTGTTTGTCTGTTTTCTTTTATGAGACTACTTGTTGAGTGGCACTAGCTCTGAGAACATAAAGCTGGATGGGGACTTTGCTGTTTCTGACAATAGTTTCCACTCTCTTTCCATCCATAGGAAATAAATATAGCTTTTAATTGCACAAAAACAAATAACTATTTCAAACAACTGCACAGAGCTAGTCTGGAAGTTTTTTTCCCCTGCTATCAAAGTGACATCATTAACTATTAAAAGTAAATTTCCCCAACTTCTGTTTTACTTTGACTCGTGGCTTTCAGAATCTGTTTGCCCTGAAAACAGCTGTTCAAATTGAATGCAATTTAGGCAACTAGAAATGCACTAATTTGCTTTTTTGTTACTTTTTCAAACTTAGGCATGTTGTTCGAGCTACAATTGAGGTAGCAATTATATGGAAATTTGAGTAGATTCTGTCCAACGAGGTGCCATTCAGAAACTATCTTGCTGAAGGAAGCAGAGCAACAAGATGTGTTTTATATCTTGAGTTCATCTCTCCCTAATTAGTACTGTTTAATGAACCATGCACCCCATTGGTTTTCATAGTTCTCCTTGGGGATTTCCCAGCTGTTTTGCTCTCCTGTTGTAATTGAAATCAAACTTGTTCCAACCTGTAATTGATAGTGAATTCAACCATTTTATGTTTGCCATGAGACGGACGTATGGCACATGCATGCAAAGCAGCATATGGACAAAAGAATGTCCTACTACCATCAAAAGAAAACACATCTTGTTTCACCATTTGGTTGTGCTTTTCCTCCTCCATAACTAATCCGGAGATAAGGTGAACATATTTGTAGATTCCCATGCTTGGATTTTATTCAACAGAAGGTATAATGAAGGCAAGCATTTCTGTCTGAATCAACATGGAAGGAAGTTGGGAAAAAGTTGAAATGAGACAAGATTGGGTTAGTTAGATCCAAAAGGCTTTAGTAGCAGTTGAAGCAGTTGTGTCCTCAGAAAGCTGCTTTGTAAATCTGGTGCAACAAAATCCTAACCCTTTGGGAAGCCTGTCTAGAAGGACCTGGGTCAATGCTTGTCTTACCCCCAAGTTTCTTTTGCTTTGTGTTGGAATAACATATTCAGCTCTCTCTTCAAGTGGAATCATAGGTCACTATTTTAAGTTCTTCTCCCATTAGCTTCCTGTGATGCTTCCTCTTTGTCACAAATTGGCAATACCATCTGATGTTCTTAGATACCACACCAGGGTCTGTTGTTGCATATTAGTGGAAGGGAAGATGAACAATTGCAGCAACCCCTACTGAAGGAAAAAAAATCTCTGCACATGGATTCCTCTCAAATCTTAGCCTAAATATTCAGCCTGTGTTGATCAGTGCTTTCTACACAACCCTTCTTCTCCTTTGTTTACACTTTTCACCCCTGAAGCCAGGTACCCATTTTCCCCTTAAGTCCCTTGTCAAGTGTTTGTCTTGCCTTGCCTATATTTTCATTTTTTTTAAAAAAAATTCACACCATATCAATATAGCCTTTAGGTTTTCTCCCCATCTTCTACACCTCCTGACATTTCTTCCCACGTAGTGTCCCTTATCTTATCTCAGTCTTTATCTAACAGGGAACTCTGAAGTCTTTTGAATTTTTTTTTTCATTTCTTCAATGCAAACATATTTTTTTACACTTTGTCCTCCGATAAATTGGAATGCTGATTGTCTATCTAGTTAGAAGAAAAGAAACACTCTCAAAAATATATGGATCAGTTAAG